ACAGGCTCCACTGCCCCAATCACAGGATTTGCTGAGGACTTCAATATCCCAACCAGAAGCTCCACGACCTCTACCACAGGCTCCACTGCCCCAATCACAGGATCTGCCAGGGACTCCAACATCACAATCAGAAGCTCCACGACTTCAATCACAGGCTCCACTGCCCCAATCACAGGATTTGCCAAGGACTTCAATATCCCTACCAGAAGCTCCACGACCTCAACCACAGGCTCCCCTGCCCCAGCCACGGATTGGGGAGCTTTCGCCTCAGGTACCCCAACCACAACCCATTCTGCAAACAGCCCCAGTAATACTGACATCAACAACGGTACTAACATCAACAACAGTCCTGACTTCAACAACGGTGCCCACGACTACGACTGAAGTGACGACTTCGGAAACAACCGCAGCAACCACACCGATGGCTTCGACGACCCCTCCTACCACAACTACTGAAAGTACGACGACATTGAGTACGACGGAGCCTACCACAACCACTGGGAGCGCCATAAACTTGAAGGATCCCGTTGCATCGAGTTTTATTACAAATCAGCTGGACATTGCCACACTGAGTACGACGGAGACAAACAACGTGACAGTGGTGGAGTAAGTGGCCAGAGATCACACCGAGTGCGTTGTACTTCGCACGCTTGATTCCGCATGACATCGCTTTCCAGCAAACTAACATAGCTTTAGTTCACGTAACAAGTAGTTTTTCATTGCCCAGCTAACCTTTGCAGTTTTGGGAAATGGTTTTGTTAGATTCGTATTGTCATAGGGGCAAAAGATAATTTTAGAGTACGACCACCACCCAGACAGCCACCATCTCCTCTACGCGCGACATCACCGCTTCTCCCAAGACGTTTCTTCAATCGACAGCAGTCCTTCACGTCAGTTCAGCGCTTTCCTATAGCACATAAGGTTCACGTAATCATTACTAGGGTATAATGAGAACAGCACTACATGCATTCTCACTTTTTTCCCGAGGGTCGCCCAAGAGCCGGATCACATGAGTGTTAGTATGTGGTAGGTAATGCGCTCATGCGATTTCGGTAGAATCGTTTTCTAGTGTCCCTTGGTGTTTTATGAGAATGTCGGCACAAACGCGATTGTTTCATTACAAGTAGTCCAATGGTTCACTGGGACTAAATTCCTCACCGCATTTGACTTTGTATATCACGCAAATGGTTTCCGACGTTCCACAGAACACTGTAAACAATTTCATTGAACGAAACTAAGGGAACATTTAAAACAATGGATTCCCACCCTGCATAGACAGAGGAAAGCATTCAATTGAAAGCGAATTCATGTGGTCCGCCGCATTTCATCGCAGCTCTTAAAATCGTTGTTCACAACGTCAACCCCATAAATGGACCCGTAACAATAAGCGCTAGCGCTCGGAAATTTCACATTTCATAACTTTTACCACTTCTTCCACTAGACTACCTAGGCGATGAAACAGGTAGTTAAATCAACCGAGGTCATCTGTCAATGGTGCTATGGTGGTCGCAGTTCTAGTGCTGGTCTCATATGAAAGCAGTACATTCTAGACGACAGATAAGCAACTCTTAATTCCTTGAGTAAAGGAATGCGTAAAAAAGAAAAAACTAATGCGGTCCAAACAAACACCATCTACATCAGGTGAGATTATCTTCATTGATGTGGACAGGTGTCTGCCTAAAACTTTTTGTGCCCTAGAAAGGCATCAAGTAAAAGACATCAGAGCTTCGTGCTGATGTAGAGTGACAACTAGATGCTAGTTTCTAGTGGCTTTTTCAATATCTCGTAGCATGCTTGTCATTGCTTCCTTCTCTGCGCTATCACTTTGTTGCGATAGCTTTCGATTAGTTAGAGACTATGCTTCCTTCTTACTTCTACTTTCGCAGCTAGCCCTAAAGCAGCTCTTTATTGGTTAGTGACTGGTCGGTGAAGAGTGAAGTTATTGCGCCGAAATGGATATTGGCTCAAGAATTACTAGACGACTGTGGAGTTCTGAAATACACTGCCGTATGTAGAGGCGTAATGCTCACAAAACAAGCATCGACTTTATATAAACCGTGTAAGTTCCTGTACAGCTCAGAAATACTACCGAATGCTTCTGCAATCCAGAGTGGGTACCGTTCACATTACATTTCATTATAAAGAAGAGCTTAGATATCAGAAACGTCCTTTTTCTTGTTTGACTACAACTTGAAAGGACTGTAATGAACGTTCTGTCCATGACAGACTCCTACCGGTAATCGAATTCAGCAAGGAAAAAGAGTTTTGGTTAGTCTTTGACGCCTTCTTTACAGTCTCCCTTGAAGACAAAGGTAACTTCGACATGATTGATAAGAATCCAATGATGTTTCTTAGAACTAGGAAATACCTGAGAGCAGTTTGCGCATCATAAAAAAAGGTTGGAGAAATGGGAACCGATAATAGTACCCTGTTGCTGTAAAGGAGGGGTATGTTCTACTGTACTAACAACTGGTAATGAAATTTCGTACGCACATCTCAGCTATGAAGTCACGCTTTTTGTCATTAAAAAACTAGCGAATCGTGAGAAAAAGTCCAAGGGTCTGAGAAGGGTCTTCGAGCGACAGAGGGACTGAATTTTTTCTAGGGAAGTACACGATACGTGTTCGAGCCCCATTGTCAGCTATTCGGTGAAGCTATAGAATTTTGGATCGTCGCTTTGGTGACAACTAATGGGAAAGTGTGGAAATTCACCCGACTAGCCTTCATAGCCTTCATAATTCGGTTTGGCATACACTACTTCGAGCCAATAATATAATCTGCCAAGAGGAAGGGCAAGAGATTTGAAAACTATATCTTCGCTTTTTCTCTCTTACATCTATACTTTCGACTCTCAAAGATCATTGGCTGAGACCCATTATTCAACATTACCTGTCAACACTCTCTCTAACCCCTCTAATGGTTGCTCCGACCTGACCACACCCATGGTCATCGTCGGGATTCAAAAGTTCGATGAACGTTGATACTGTTCTACAGTTGGCGGAAAACAAAAACATTGCTCCTCGATGTAAACCCAAGGTTTCAGTTAAGTGGGAAGCGTCAATTATTGCCTGACACAGAGCGCCTTGGGTCATGTGATGATGACTCAGTTCCAGCGACTTTTTTAATCTTTGGGGTTCTCCAACTGATCGGAATCAGTATTATTGAGCAACGAACTCTTTTCGAAACAGTGACATTAATCTCCATTGCTCGTTTTCTTTTCCTTCTCAAGGAATAGGCAAAGAATTTACTTGAAAAAAGACTATTTCTATTACCTACGATATATTATACTGGATTGGAACGTTAGAGGGCAAACGCGCGCCCCGCTACTCCGCAATACGGAACTGGTGTATGTTCCCATTGATCCCCTGAAGGGATCCCTGGGATGGAACCCATTTAAACAACCTCAATGAACGAGAACATCGAGTGAAAGACGGGAGGTATCCAATCACGTCAGGATGTCCCACGATCTCTTTCTTTTCACTATAAGTAAAAACAGAGTCATCATGCAGACCGTGTACATAACCCAATGGTAGTGATCGGGGTGAGGTGTCTGCGGCGTAGTACATCTTTCGAGAGCTTCAGCTAGAAGGTTAGGTCTATTATTGTGATCCAGTTCGCAACCTGGTATGCGTTACACTACCAATCTTGGGGATGATTCGCCGCTGACAGCTCCTCATGATTAGCGCTGGGAACGCCCAAAGTTTCAAAGAACAGCTTTCCAGTGTTACAACTATATCACATTTATCAATTACGAGATGGTTTACACTACCGACTAATTGAATAGATTGCGGAAAGACGAAAGTAATTAATAGATAGAAGCGATTGCCAAGAAATAATTTTCTCTCCGAAAATCACTTTCCCAATTTTCTTTATTAATTCAATGCACTGCAATGGAATTATTCAAATTACCGGTTCTTTCGACCATTTAGCATCTTTGAGTCATTGTCCTTGGGTTATGGAGCGAGGGCTGATTGAGGGAAAGTCGCGAAAGCCGCGACCCCAATGTTATTCGCGATAGCATTGCATGATGATTCGAGGTCGAAGGTAGATTCGATGATACCGAAAACTTAGCTCAATCCCACTCTCTTATCCCCCTTTTTGAACAGCTAAGAACTGACCAATATCAAATAAAGAGTATGCCGCACTACGATGCGCCTCGGCTTTCCTCGATCCCACAGAAGTGGCTGTTGTTAGCGCTTCAAGGAAGTACTCCGAGAGACATTCTGTGCTATTATAATCATGGCTCATTCGCTATAAAAAGTATTCCCCTCATTAAAGTATCTAGAGCTGTCAAGAAGTCCAATTACAGAACTCGTGATCAGTCTGCCCACCAAAATCACCTTCGGGCCATGACAGCAAAGGTTACGCGAAAAATAGCACCATAACCCTTATTCACCTTCCCTTCAAGATCTCCAAGATTTCGAACGCTGTTCCTTGATGGGTGTATGCGAATTTTGTTTTCGAGCTTCCTATCACGCTTTCATTCATCTACTTCAAATGAAACCCTTCACATTCTACGTTATCCTACAGAATACTGCTAAGTACCGCCTACTCCATACCCATCTGCTTGGCCTTTGTGCTTTAGGATCCGGTTGAATGGTGTTGGCTAACCTAGAACCCATTCTCATAACCCAAGAAAAAACAGTGTTCATGTTCTTGTCATTGTCATCGACCGAAACTCCCGTGGATGAAAGTGTTTTTCATGAAGATGCATGAACAACTAGTGTGATTGAGACATGGACGCAAACATCAATTACAACGATGTACATCCCATTTCAATCGTTTACTAGCACGGGTCTTTGTTTGTTTCATTATAAGCAAATGCTTTAAGGGGCTTGTTCCCAACTTCACAAACAGAGTAACTTCTAGACCTTTGTCGCCAACCAAACTTGCACAGTTTTAACGTAAACTCACTAAGTGACAACACCGGAGCGGACTAGTCAGGCTGAGATATATGGGGATTTCTAACCGAATCCATGTTTTGCCTGAAAGTATGAGCAACTTTCAGCACCACAACTCGGCCACTTCCACCACCTCCAACCACTAGGCCACTTCCTCCTCCAACTGTTCGGACTTTCCCTCCTACTACACAAACGACAACTACGACAACTCGTGCACCGCCGCCAAGCACTCCGAACGCAGGTCGATGTCAAGCAATAATAAATGATCCACTAGTAGCGGCGGAAGAGATGTGGAGAGAACATTTGGTCGTTGCTACAGAAGGTCAGCTTTGCTTAATTAGGATATACGTTTAAAGAGTCAATGTTGAGGAATTTCTTTGTAGATAACTCCAACCGGAAAACGGTGGACTTGGACGCTGTAATTCGATCAAACCTCGCTAATGTTTGTGTTCCGCGATTGGACGAAACGAACTGCGAACGGAATCTTTGTTATAATGCATACTTCAGGTGAAATCCCAGTGGTGATGAACTCTTTCATAGGAACATAAGGAAAGAGATTTTTTAAGGACCATGGACGGAACATGTAACAATCTCCATCATCCATTGAGAGGAGCGGCTTATCGTCCCTATACTCGCCTTCTACCAACTGTCTACGATAACGCGCTATCGGAACCAGTCGGTGAGAGTCTAATAACCAAGCCTAAGAAAACTCAGCTGTTGACTTTGGTATCCCCAAATTGTACGAGTAGGTATTCACCGTGCATTACTCTTCAGGATCATTGATTCCCAATCTGCGTCCCTCTCCACGAGCAATCACCAGGCATCTAACGTCATCCCACGCCTCGGTTGTCTCGGAGGACTACAACGCAATGGTCATGCAGTTTGGACAGTTCATTTCGCATGACATGGCTAAGGTAAAGCTATAACGAATATAGAAAGACAAAAGGGCTAATTATTTCATGTGTGTGTGCATGACCTCTTAGATATTAAAATTCTTGTAGGAGGGCTTAGGCTAGCAGTAGCACTAAAATAGGAAGTCCCATCTTAAAGAACAATGATGTTGTTTTGCTCCTTTTATGTTTCTACTTTTTAAGGAGGTGAGCGAAAGCCAACAAGCATTATTAATTAGCATTTAAATTAGTACATACAGATTTCCCTGATGTTTGTGCAACAACAACGCAAACTGAGTCCATACTCAGCTTCTACTATAACACCACCCGTACGAGAATCAGTTTTTAAGAATGGGAGGCGTTGTTAAAGATCATACTGTGACAATTGAGTGTTATTTTACGATATGCCCTGTTATACGGAATACGATACGGAAAACCGTACTCTACTTACACCAGCCTAAGGACCAAAATCGCCAAACCACTACGAAAAGATTCCAGCAACAGCAATTTGAGATTACTTACAAAAGGGATCCATCGAATGGGAAATTTCGCCTCCACTTTAGAGAGATCAGAGGATGAATCAGTTAAATGACCATTAAACTGTTTGACAGCGTTACCAAAGACTCAATGAGTCAAATATGATACATCTCACTTATGATAATCGAATCGGTCACTACCACCAGTTGTTTCGATTATCATCTGATCAGCTCAGAACAAAACACAGTGGTTCGGATGAAATGCCATGTAAATGATGCCGACGACAAAAAAATTACGACAAGTAAAAAAACGAATGCATGCACTAATAATCGATAACAAAGTAAACGAGGAAAGCTAATTAAAGTAAAAAAAAAAGCCAAAAAAAATAAAAAAGCAAAAAAGGCTGGGAAAAGACTTACCTAGCTTGGAGGAAGATATCTGGCGACTTTCTGGGAAAAGCTGTCAGCGTTCACTAGCGCGCACACGCGCCGCAACTCTAAGTTCCCGCGTGCTTTAAGCGTGTTCAAGCACATGGCCAATCAATAAGTATTCAAAGTATTGACCGTTGTTCAGCACCACATCGGGGACTGTGTCAGTGATCTCATGGGCTCCCATCGATGTCAATCCTGATCCCTGTCGTTTGACTGTTGCGGTAAAGGTGTAATTGGTGTTTTTCCTTCCTAAGTGTAACGGTGAGAGAGTGCAGACCAGAAGGAGGAAATGACATTTTCTTTTTTAACCCCTTTTATGGCGGATCCAGAATTCGAGCGTTTTTGTGAAGTTCCCATGAATGCCCTTTCCTATAGGAAGATATTTACCAGCTGCTACCAGTTGACCACAAGTCGATATCCAGTGTCGATGTTTGGTGTCGTTTTGTGAATGGAACCTTTTGCTGAATTGCGTCCCTACCTTTTCCTATATCGGGCCCAACGTAAGTCAGGAAGTACCGGAGTAATTTCCTACTGCATTCATGGAATGACGGTGATCTCGAGTGGTCCTGTGACGCCACCCTTCCCTAGTGCCAGCTTCCTTAGCTGAAGCCCACCTGCTACGTTGATACCTTCGTTCACACGCTGCGTTCATACTTTGCGTTAGCATAATGCAGGCGTGCGACGCCCGCTACCTACACCCAGCTTGGATCGATACTGATTGTTTGGATTTGGCGACGTTGAGCGTGGCTTACGGTCATCGATGGTTGGCTATACGCCAACGCAGCCATCACGAATGGTCTCTTGCACCCATCATTAAGAAGCGTTTTTAAGGTGCAAAAAAAGTCCAAAAAAGTAGAAGGGATAGAGAGTTTTGATGCCATTCTTCTGAAAAGGGGCCACCGGTTCATTTTTTAATTCAGTCAAGGTTCTAGAGACATGATGAGATCGAATTGACGAAATTTTAAATGAAATTGAAAAGGGCTCTTGATGTAACTTATGGATCTGTTAGGACACTACTCTATTCATTTGAAAATGAATAAAGACTAGCTAGTCTTTCGCAGAGTTGCATGTTTTCTGAATGAGAGCCTATTCCAGACTACGCTTGTACCATCCGCCAAGTGCAATGTATGTCAGAACATCACAAGCCGTTGTATGGCGGTTCCTATTGAACCAGATGACCCGAACGCTGGGTAAGTTTATACTTCAGACAATTTTCCAATAAAAGGCGTCTCATGGAGTTTTTCTCTTCAACTTCTCTATTTATCCTTCAGTTTTTCTATTTTCATATGAATATTATTATCGATTATGAAAAATCAGATGTTCAGATTCCGGCGCAACGGTTGTGTCCGAGTCTCACGATCATCACCGATTTGCGGATCTGGTAATCAAAAACCCCGGCAGCAGCTCAATGAAAACACAGGTATCTTCCTACTATTTGGAAGTGTATGTGGTTTCAAGGAGTATTCAAAAAATATATGTCATATCGTTTTAACTCAGAAGAATTCTAACATTCGTTTCCAGCGTACATCGATGCATCGCCTATATATGGCTCGTCCGTAGCCGATATGTCAAAGTTTCGTCAAGGAAACACAGGTTTCCTGAAGCTGCCTTCATTCAATGGAATGTCAAGTAAGTTTTCAATTTATCTAATGTTGGATAGATTTTTTATTGTTGTTGATATGAACGTCTTCGTGGAGGTTCCGGTAGTTTGCCCGTCTACATTTCTGGTAGACTACTTCACAGTTATTTTTCTGATTTACTCACTTTGCTTTACAGTGCGTTACAGTTCCACAAAATATTCATGAAAAAGATACGAAAAGTGATTACAACAATGTCTATTACAGAAGTTACTTTTATATTTGTAGCAAATTGCTAGGGATCATTAGTTTTGAATAATATTGTCAAATATTCTTCCACACTGGATCCATTCCTATTATCCGTTTTATGTGATTGCCTACAAAGTCGAATCTCCCTCGGACTCGCTGCCCATAGGATCGAACTTTTCTCACAGAAAAATAATTTAACAGTATCCCGTTTAGCGCTCTTTTGGAGCTATATTACAGGGTAAAGTGCTGATTCCACAAAATTCATCCAATAATTATTATTTCAAATTTTTGGGCGCATATTTTTAGCCGTCAGGTTACATCACCTTGGGACTGGCACCCGTCACACCTATAAACCTATAATTTCTCCGATATAGCTGGCTGAGAATTGCCAAAGAAAATAAAAATCCGAGTCATAATGGTCGACTGCCGAATGGCATTTATCAGCCATTGGGCAGGTATTAAAATACGTACCTAACGTCCTAGTTTGGATGGGAACCGGATGCACTACGTGTGTTAAACAAACTAGTGAAAGCATCGACCAGGCACTCCTTTAGTTTATTCTTCTTATGTAATAAAATTCGTTAATATAATATTTCTTTCAATTTAATATAGATAAATTGATCGTAATCAATGTCTGGCCCCGTCCGCAAACAAATGAAGAATGTTTTATTGATGATAAATTCACATGGGAAGAGGTATTCCACTTTTCGATGGGATCCGATTAATTATCGCCTTTTTTCAGCTGAAATGTGAAATTTTGAGAATTTCACGCAATTCAGCGTTTTTCACTTGTTAATAAGTAGTTTAACTGATCGAGGTTAGCATTAGTATGAAATATGTTAATGGTTGCCGGTTGTGTTCGACAAAAGGCGTTCAACTTCTCAACAAGAACCCGGTCCTTCATCATCAATTATTTCTTCTATGCTAAAATATAGAAATTTTAGCATTTCAAGTGAATCATCGTTTTTAAATGGTTTTATCAAAAGTTTCGCCAACAGATTATGAACACCAATCCAGTATTCGTGGTCACGTTCGAACAAAGAACGTTCTACCATATTTTCCCATGAAAACTTGATTTTCAGAGTTAATTATTTCTTTTGAGAAGAAATGTGAGAAATTGAGGCAATTTGCGTGAACCAGTGTTTTTGACCGACATAATAGAGGAGAGGTTCCACTATCTGTCGCGTGCTCTTTTTGCTCCGGTTAGTCCCACCTTTCCCTGACAAACGAATTAGCTGGTGATTGAGAGGAGATCTCTGATGCGCCTTAGTCTTATGTCCACAACCAAAAGGCTAACCAAAAGGCCTTTTACTGTTGACAACTTGCCAGATCAAACAAACGCTGAAGCTTTCTAAATTTCATAAATCTTAACTGAATCTTACCAGCTCATTTGACAATAGGCACATCGGGATAGGAACTTTTGCTTTGGGTATTGGCTAGTCTCCCGAAACCGCTATTCTGGTCAAGAGCACCCATGAATGCCTTTACCATACCGCTGCTGTCAAGAGCAATGCGATTTTCACTCTTGCAAATTGATCACCTCATACTGCTTAATCCATTACCCTTTTGCAATCCTGGTGACAGCTGGGATCCGTTCCGTTTTTCTAAATACCCAACAAAGTAAACGCCAGCCAAGTGAACTGAAAGTAAGCCCAATCGGAATTTAACGAATCTCGGTATCAATTTAGTGAGATAAGGTGAACGACGTCTTCGAATTTAGTTGACCGCTGTAAGAGGTACTGTTACCATAAGCGTCTATGGACATACATGCTCAAATCCGATCAAAGTCAACTGACAGCTGAACTGTTTGTCCCGATTCAGCCTTAGAAGGAGCTAATTGCAACCAAGCTCTCGACCCTTTTCACCTCAGTCGTAGTACGACAATCGCTTATGAGCGTCCATTCCATAAAACCAGGAGTCATTCAGTGAAAAAAGATTTCTTGGTTCTTTATACCTAAAGATATTTGAGCTCCTGAGCATAAATAGAGATATAGTGGGTTATGTTCAGGTCCCAATCGAGTCCTCTGTTCATAGTACATTGATCAATTTTTTTAGATTATTTATCATTTGACATTTGGATGCTGATTTTTACCTGAAAATATGAGTATGAGCAGTATGAAGTATGAATATGAGCATTTTCAGTGCTGCCTTTTGATCAATCCAAATGTAGAAGTCGTTCTTCGTGTACAGTAATTTTCACTGCCGGTGATAGTCGAGTGAATCTGTTTGTTGGATTGTCAGCATGGCATACGATGTTCACAAGGGAACATAATCGGTACGTTTCTCTTTGGTTCCGTACAGTCCCTTAGGTCTTCCTTGGTCTCCTTTTAAGCGTCGAAGGGTCTCGAAAGTTTCACTGACCTAACAGTTTCCTTTTTCCAGCATTGCAAGTACTCTTCAACGATTAAATCCTCACTGGAATGGCGATCGACTCTATCAAGAAGCAAGAAAGATAGTCGGAGCTGAAGTACAGGCTATTGTTTACAGGTAAAAGCTCGAGGTTTACTTTTTTAGTTTTATCTTCAAATACTCTTTAAAGTATTCAAGTTTGGCTCTCAGTAATTTACGGCATTCTTCTTTTTACTGCATATTTCAATAAGTCTAGTATTATAGTTCTAGCTATATAGCTGGTTGCCAGTTGAATTATTATATTACGGCAATCCCTGACGCGTATTCCTGTTCAAGGGTTGTAACTATGCAGCTTTCCTCCTCTCAATGAAGTCTTCACTGAAATCAGGAATCATTGGCCTAATCTTTTCCATTTTATACTTTTTTACAAGGAATGCTAAGTATACGGTAGAGGAGAGGCAATGAATTAGGTCACGTCCGATTTCAAAGATGCGAAAGAAAGCAAAATCAGGTTTTGAAACAGGAAACAAGAATTAATTGAATTAAGGTGCGCTCCGAAAAAGTGAGAAAAATGTTGCCACCCGTTAAGTCTGTGATTTCCAGTGTTTAGTCGCTTCTGATCTTCTAGTGACCTGGCGAAGGAGATGGCATCGTTTTTTAAGGGATGTCTTGCCAGTAAATTGATGAGAATTTTCACAGAATGAATACCTTGGGGTCATTATGATCTTACCAAAAAATTGCGTCCTGAGTAGTTCCATACATCTTGGTATTCTTATCATAGTTTTTTTTTNTTTTTTTTTCTAAGGAAGAAAATCTTAAGTTTTTGAAATCTATCAAAATGACGGTACCGTCGGGATAGAAGGGTGAAGCGGAGAACCCAAAACTGACAATCCAAATGGTTACTGTCAAATTCCAGAGAATGGTTACCAAAAATCTTGGGTGCAGCGTTCTCTTCAGTGGTTGGTGACTATCGGGGTTATGACCCCACCGTCGACGCCACCATTGCCAACGAATTCACGTCGGCTGCCTTCCGTTTCGGTCATGGAATGATTCAGGTGTTTATTGAACTGCTAAACTTTCTAGGACCATTTCATATGCCCAGGTTTCAGCGAAAAAACCAAAAGTTTCAGGAGTTTTACCAACGGCTCGATCCCAACTTTGGTAATTCGTCTTTTGGAGCACTCGCACTCCAAAAGGGTACACTACATTCAGATGTACTTGTAAATGAGGTATGAAGCTTTGGTTATGACTATTTTAGCTTATCTCTTCTGTAAGGGAATTACATTATTAAACGGTAGTTTTCAAGGGAGGACCAGATCCATTAGTCCGAGGAATGTTCTCACAGAATGTCAAGCGACCGCAACGAGTCACTACAACTGTTACAGAAAACATGTTTGGCTCAACAGATCTCAGTACGATAAACATTCAGGTACGGTATTGTCCTCAATCTCGGCGAAATTTCTACTATAAGTCCGTTTTTGCTGCAATAGCTCGAAAACCCTTCCATGAACTTACATCTATTTTTAATACTATTTCTTTCTTTTATTTAGCGAGGACGAGATCATGGTCATCCAAGTTATACGAAATACCGTGAACTGTGTGGCATGGGAATCGCCACCAGCTTCGACCACGTGAGTGGCAACCTTTGACTTCTAAAATTTTCTAGAATGAATTTTTTATATGGTAATTTATTTCTTCAGCTGTCTCGGGAGATCCTCAACACAGCTACTCGTGATAAGCTGCAGAAAATCTATGGCAGCGTTGACAGAATCGATCTCTGGGTTGGAGCATTATTGGAAGATCCAGTGATTAGAGGTCTCGTTGGACCAACCATAGCTTGTATTGTAGGACCTCAGTTCAAGCGGACGAGAGATGGAGACAGGTATGAGGCGATTTCTTTGAATAGAATAAGCTTTAAGAGAAACTGCTCCTCGGCTCTGGGATTATGTTGAATGAATATTTTGCTGGAACCCTTTGAGCTTGAGGATAGGAGTGAATAATCCAATCTCTTTGACTTATTCGGCTTCTCATGTTGTTTGGATATACCTGGACAGGATAAAGGAGAAAGCTTGGCAGAGTCTGTTCTAAAATGCGCCCGTGCTTTGGAACGGATGGTTCCTTTGAACCCTTCAGAGAAGCACGAGTGGGCCGAAAGTTGAACCAAATCTCCAACGATTTGGAGTAGAGGTACCAAATTTCCCTCAGAGCTATACGACCGAGGGATCAGATCTCAACTCTAACTGCAAGTGAAATGCATGGCGCCAGCCGTTCCCGCCAGTTTTTCATGAAAGGTCGTTGCCTGTCGCTTGCCGTAGGCCGGCTAGAAAAAATAGAACAGGAATTCGCATAAAAACTCTGTTTACGTCAAGCGCATTCGAGCTCTGTACTTGAATTTGATGGACAAAACGTGCCGCGTTTGGGTTTCACTTACTTTCAATCAAGAGCTTTGAATAAAAAAGAGCCGAGCCACCCTCGCTATAATAATCGGGTGGAACAGCTCGATAAATGCATTAAGAGGTGATGGTTGACAGGTTTTTCATAGAGGATGACGGAAAGTGATTGTAATTT